AAACCTCAAATTCAGCACTGCTTACCATCCACAAACAGATGGGCAGTCAGAAAGGGTGAACCAGTGTTTAGAAATGTATCTCAGATGTGCTGTTCATGACTCCCCTCAAACCTGGAAATCATGGTTACCACTTGCTGAACTTTGGTATAACACATCTCTCCATTCTTCTTTGGGATGCACTCCTTTCAAAGCCCTATATGGCCATGACCCTGACCTGGGTCTGTTACCTACTACAACTCAGACAACCTCAGTTTCAGTGACTGAGCAGATTGAGAACAGGGAACAGCACATTCAAGCCCTCAGACAACATCTAGCAAGAGCACAGAACAAGTTCAAAATACAGGCAGACAAACACAGAACAGATCATCAGTTTGCTGTCGGTGACAAAGTATTATTGAAGTTGCAACCATATACACAATCCACTGTGGCAAACAGGCCATATCCCAAACTATCATACAAATACTATGGACCATTTACTGTCATCCAGAGAATTGGTCAAGTAGCATACAAGTTGGAACTCCCACCAGACGCTCAAATACACCCAGTCTTCCATATCTCACAGTTGAAACCATACACACAAGATTACACACCTGTATATGATACACTGCCAGTTTTGACAGATCTTGAAGCTGCAGATACCGTACCAAGGGCGATCCTAGAGCATCGCATGGTGAAGAAGGGCAATGCAACAATTCCTCAAGTGAAGCTCCAGTGGGTCGGCCTGCCAGACTCGATGACCACCTGGGAAGACTACTACGTGGTCAAGCATCGGTTCCCTACAGCGCCAGCTTGGGGGCAAGCGACAAGTCAAGGCGGGGGAGGTGTCAGCCCAGGTGCACCGGCTGCCACTGAGTGAGCTGCCGGAAGCCGTCATCTGCAGAAGTAAACACATTTAGTTGTTTACGTTTTCATTCTTGTATGACATTGTGGGCCCACAGGCCAGAAACTGTATGGCACTTAAGTGCCCGTGACTCTGTAAGACGATCATCGATTATCAAATACCAAACAGCACGTCAAGGCAGAGGGGCAACCTCGCCGGCGTCAGGGTTCTCCGGCCGAATCCGTTGTCGTGCTCACGTTGCGGTGACCCGCCGCTGCCAAGGGCTGACATGTACCAGGCAGCCATGGCGGTTAGTGCGAGTGCCTTTGGCGCCCACGTCGTCCGGTCGCTGGACGACATGCGCTCGGTGGAGATGATATTTATAGCTTGCATTATGAAGTTGAAAGTTAGTGGGGTGATATATATAGCGGAGATGCCATTGATAGCTTGTACTTTTTTTAGAGTTTTAGGACCAAACGGTCCCCGTCTTCCATCATTAGATAAAAGACAAGTTGTTCGTTACAACATAGCAGGTGGCATACCACCTGAGAACCAAATCAACCCGTCTAACAGACATATTCAGCAGAACAACACAGAAAAGAGTCTATAAAAGCAGACTTAACCACCACACACTACTTCTCACTAAATCTTCAACGGTATCCTCCATTCTTGTGTAGCTGACTTGATCACTCCATCCTTGTCACCACCCTGAATAAGTATCATTTGTTCAGGCATCCAATCTTTGGTCGTCACCCATGTTGGAAAGTAGTGTTTTCCAGCAGGTGATGTGGAGAAAGCCTTCGCCCGGTCGGATGGGCCAGGCGAAGGTTAAGAAAGTGGTAGGTGGGTCCTGGCAGCTCTCCCCTTTTATAGGGCGTTGTTTAGTACCTCTCTTTTTTACATATTTGCCCTATAACTGCTATGGTACATTCCCTGAATATCCTTCCGTTAGTAGGGGTAGCCCGGGGCAAGCTGGACCTTTCCTTCTTTGCACCGCCTTGTCTCCTTGGGCCTTGGTTACCGGCCCGAGGGAGGCCCGTTTTCGGCCCGAGGTTCCCGTCGTGCCGTGAACCTTCCTGCTATGGTGGAGTCAGCTTCAACCATCGCCCACTGCGCTGCAGCCTCCGCCTCCGCTCGTAACACCGTAGCCTCCGCTTGTGGCGCCGCGGCCTTCGCCTTCACTCGAGGCGTTGTGGCCTCCGCTTGTGGCGCCGCGGCCTTCGCTTGTCGCGCCATGGCCACCATCCTCGCCTGATGGTGGGCGAAGGCCCTGCCGGCTACCCCTGCACGACATTACTTCAACAATTCTGTTATCGTTAGTTCTCGCTTGCATTGGCCTCCGCTACTCGCGTAACCGTGCCCCAACAACCCAGTAGGAAGCCATCTTGACTTCTTTGCTTCGAACTAGAGCTCGGCAATTGCACCCCTCAGCCGGTCCTGACGTTCCACTAGACATAGAATTAGCCAATTATGCGCCATACCAATGATCATTTGGTAGAGTATTTCCATACTCCTCCAGCCACTTCTCTTAAAGCAAAGATTATTTCTCAGTTTCCAAAAACTCCACACAGCTGCAGCCGAGATGATATTAGTAACAAAATGTTTCCTATCAGAAAGCCAATATTTCCCAACCTCATCTAAAAAGCCACCAAGGTTAACATTTAGATCGAATTGAGGATAGAATCTTCCAAAGTTGGGTTGCCACCACACAGTCAAAGAAAATATGCTGAATTGATTCAGATTCACAACAAAACAAACAAGTAGCATCTTCTACCTTTCTTCTCTTACCTAAATTATCCCCGGTTAACACTTTATTCTTAGAAACCAGCAAAAGAAAGAAGTGAACTCTAGGAGGGACCTTTATAGACCAAAGAGCAGGAACTAGGACCGGTTGGACACCTCTAAAATTGATCACTTTATATAAATATTGAGTAGAATATGTACCAGCAGAGGAAAATGGCCAAATCAGTGAATCCTCCTCACTAGAGTGAGAAATTGTGGAGGTCAACCGACAAACTTCTACCCACTGTTGTTCCAGCCTTTCATCCATGTTCCTCCTAAAAGAACACTTGAGAGAGGACCCATCCCAAATCTCATCAATGGTAGCATTCTTCTCATTAACTATTTTGTAAAGCTTCCAAAACTGAATTGAAAGACTAGAGGAACCTAACCAGTTATCCTCCCAAAATCTCACTTTATCTCTACCTATTTTCCAACGAGAACCCATTCTACCTGCAACATGTGAGGCTGACGTGTGGGCCCATCCTCTGCAACCTCTATCCACCGGGTCAGGCTCCAGAGTGAAGCTCATTTTGGCCATCTCCACCGAGCCAGGATGAGATCGTATATCTGCATGAGTGGAGTCAAGATGGAACAGTGGAGCCTAGCAACCAAATGAGCTTCTATTTCTGCGTATACGGATGAGCTAAGCCAAGATGGGGTGGAAGCGGGCAACCAAACACACCCAAAGACTACAACAACTCATTGCACACCGTGCATGCCTAATCAACATCCATTGGGGAGCACCAAAGCAAAATCTAGGGTGTGTTTGGTTGTTGGATTGAAGTTGCATCGTATATCCTGCATGAGCGGACGCGGGCTAGGTGGAGCCGTATTTCATAAAAGAAGGTGTTTAGTGAAGTTGCATGAGCGAATGCAAGAAAGCTGAGATGTTGTTCGGTTGACTGCATGAGCGGATGCAACATGTCTGTTCTGTGAGACTGACGTGTGGGTCCACAACCTCCATCCAGCATCCACCGAGCCAGGCTCGGGAGTGAAGCTCAATTTGAGCATATCCCGCCAACCCGCATCCACCCATGCAATTGCATCCGCTCGTGCAAGTTGAATAGTGCATACAAGCAACCAAACAGACTACTCAAACATTTTTATACGGTTCCGCTCGTGCAAGCTGGAGGTAGTAGGCCAACCAAACTCGTCCTAAAGATCAGGTACGTAGACAACAGCCCATCAATAAACCACCAGCTGCATATGAATACTTCCATCAAGCCACTAACTACTCTTGAATATTTCCAGATTCCGCTTTGGTTAGCTTGCCCCTCTTATTCTTGTTTTTTTTTGTTGCCTTACTTCAATTAGCGTCGTGAGGGCATCCATCTTCGCCTTGGTAAGTGGACACTCAAAATGTTGGTGCAAAAAATTCAAATTGGCCGGCTCCCTCTTGTGTTGTTGGTAGCGATAAGTCCCCCAGTTTTTTGACAAGCAACTCCTCTGCAACTTGGATTTATATAGAGCACCCCCCCTCTTCACGCTTTGTGTTCTCACCACTCCATCTATATGTGATTGTTGATTACAACGTGATTCCTTTTCATTTTAATTAACCTTAGTTTGCCAAGAATTTGAACCATTATTGCGCATTTATATGGATTGTGTTGTCATTGTTTAACCTATATGTTTTCTGTTACCATTCTATATTTACTATCCAATAGAGATTACGGATGCCAAATTAGTTGTGAATAAAAAGATATTTGGCCATTCAAATGACTTTAAATAAAGAAGTTTCCAATCCCACCGTGGGCTACAACTTTCGTATAAAATTTTCTGACAGCGTGAATTTTCGAGGACAACCTGAAACTTAGAAATTAGCATATTATATATATGTTTTATGACAGTTCGTAGGCTAGAACCAACTGTACAAATCAACAATTATCCAATAAACCGACAATGGATTCATGAATCTGTACAGTTGGTTCATAATCATGAACTGATTTTAGACATACATTTCCACAATTTGTTCTTGTCCCCTCGGCCATTAGTTTTTTTTTTCACTGAAACAAACCTTTAAAAGAGCTGCCGATTATATTAACAAAGAAAAGAGCCTGCTATCTTGGCATGGTGCTTAAGCCAAAACCGACTCATATGCTATGTTTGTAGTGATTGTGAGCTAAAAACAAGTCAAAGGGCGTGAGGATTACACTAGCCCCATATTGATTTTGTTGGCTGGCACAGTCCGTTTTTTGATGTTCATGTGCATGACCAGTAGCCAAATGTCCTAGGTTCATTTGTCTTACTTGTTAGTTTTTCTTACTGACACTCTCTCCATTTACAGACCGTGCGCCATTTTAGCACGGACAGGTATATCAAGCAAGAAATAAGGAACTTATCTAAGGATATAATAAGTTCAGTATCTAAGAACCGTCCTTCCACGCTCACAAGCAGAAAAATGAAAAATGATCAGCATGATAGATACTGTGATGATCAGGAACTCATGCCCCATGACAATTTAGTGGAGACAGAAATTGAGATGAGGATATTGCCATTGGACGACAAATTGACAGAACATCATGAACCATCTAGGCAGTTTGTCATTTTTGCAATCTATGGGCTGGGAGGAGTAGGAAAAACAACTATTGCCAGAAAAATATTTGATGACAGAGGACGCAAAGTGCTTTCAGCACACGCGTATGGGTGTCCATTTCTAAAGCATCCAGTGTTGATCAGATTTTACAAGCAACATGTGCTGCTCCAGCTATAGGGGTCCTGGAAGTACCCAAACCAAAGAACAAACTCCAGATGCTGTTGGCTGACAAGATTGGGGGAAGGAGAATCTTTCTGGTTTTTAACATATACAATGGTGTTCCCTCAAAACAAGGCATAGTTCTTTCATGCTGCTGCTGAAGGGAGCCGTGTTTTGATAACAACCAGTGATGAGAATGTTGGTAATGAGATAAAGTCAGCTCAAATCCAAAAAGGCGCTGAAGGATACGGTCTCCAAACGGACCGCATATGGCAGCTAAAAGTGGAAGATAGTTGGATGTTACTACTTTGGGCAGCTTGTCTGGAGCAAGCAAAAGTCACGCCAGAACTAAAGAAAATTGGTATAGGAATTCTGCCAAAATGTGATTGCTTTCCTCTTGCTATCAAGGCTGTTGGAGGTGTTCTTCATCGAAAGGGCTACAGACAAAAGGAATGGGAGCGCATATGTGATAGCAGAGCATTTTCTCTCAAGGATCCAACCACGGGAACTGAAGGAGGAGTTAGGAGCAGCATCTATCTGAGCTACCAGTATGCTCCACCACACCTAAAGCAATGCTTTCTTTACTTATCACTTTTCCCTGTAGATTTTGAGATTAAGCAACACTTGGTTACTCAGTTGTGGATTTCAGAGGGCTTTATTGATATTGATACAAGACATGGCCACTCATTAGAAGAGACAGCTGATGAGCAGACTAGTGTTTCCCAAGAGGAATCCAACAAGCACAACAACAGGGAAGAGATAGCACAAGAGGGAGGCGAAAACATCAACTTGCTACGTGACTCGTCAGATGGGCGTAACACTACTTCGTCAGAAATTGTTGTTGTTGATGATGACAACAAAAATTCATCAGAACATGCTAAAGGGACACCTCGCCTCAGCAGCTGTGGACATTCTTCAAAAACAAGTCCAGATAAGCAAAGCCATTGTTCGGATCAAGAGATGGATGACTGGTACTTCAAAGAGCTTGCAGAGAGGGGTCTTGTTCAACGAGAAAACAAAACAAAACGATATAAGATGCACGAGCAAGTTAGGAAAATTGCAGAGTCCTTAACTGAAAATGAGGTATGTGCTGGCCATCCCAAGTCTTTGGACACTGAAAATGTGGCTACATTGCCAGCTAGCCTGTATCGTCTATCTTTTCTGAACAAAGGACTCACCACTATCCCTGAAGACGTCGGAAAGCTAAAGAGTCTGAGGACACTTCTCCTATCTGGCAATCCACTTGGTGAAACCGACATGGATACCATATGCAAGAACCTGCAATTATTGCGAGTTCTTGACCTCTCAGATACAGAGATCCAATCTGTTCCAAAGACGTTGGGAAATCTTGTGTACCTTAGGCACCTAAATCTTTCCCGTACAAAAATAAGAGCACTCCATGAGTCCATTGGCCGCCTCAGGAGACTGCGGTTCTTGGGTTTGCGGGAATGTGAACGTCTCACTTCCCTTCCCAAAAGCATACAAAAGTTACTGAAGCTGGAATATCTCGACTTTAGAGACAGTGGCATTACAAAGTCCACAAGGTTGCACAATCTGAGGCATCTTGCACTTCTTCATGGCTTTGTAGTGGACAGCATGTCTTCAAATGGCTTACCTTTGGAAGATCTGCAGAACATGAGCAATATAATTGACCTGCAGATAGATATTAGAAAAATTGTAGACAGAAACATTGCAAGCTATGGAAATGGAATGCTGAAGCTGAAGGAGAAAGATAATCTCAGGAACCTGGAGATCAGATGCTGTACTGTTAACTCAGAAACTTTATCAGCTGGAGAGTTAGAGAGATCGAAAACAATGTTCACACAGCTTCATCCTCACCAATGTTTAGTGTCACTCAAAATTGATGGTTACCATGGAACTGTTTATCCAGAATGGTTATGTTTCTCTGAACTTCCAAATCTGCAACACCTTAGCCTGGAAAACTCCAAGTTCTGTGAAAGGTTACCACCAATTTGTCATCTTCAGAAGTTGAAGTTTCTCAGAATAGCCAATCTTTCCAAGCTGCGAACAATTGACATGCAACCAACAGCAGAAATGCCATCGTTTCCTAATGTAGAGGAGTTGGAAATTGAGGGCATGGAAGATTTAGAGAACTGGTCAGATTTTCGAGCTGGCGACCTGCTACATCTTCGAAAGCTGGCACTCATAAGGTGCCCAAAGCTGAAGCGTCTTCCGGGTGGCTTGGAGCACTGCAAAACTATGTCAAAGATGGAGCTGATACATGCAGGACTAGTACAGGTCCTTGAGAAAATCCCTGTGCAGGAGTTGCTTGTGGAAGCAATGCCAAGTCTTAGGGAAGTGTCAAATCTTCCACTAATGAAGGTGTTTACAGTGATCAGCTGCCCAAACCTGGAAACTGTTTCAGGGGTGAACTCACTGCAGTACATTCACATGGAAGATGAACAGCTTCCGAAATGGCTGGGACAGCATTTTTCAAGGATAGAGACACTAGACATTCTAGGCAAAAAACAACTGCTTGTGAGATGTGAACGCAGTAAGGAAGATTGGTATATCGTTCGAGAGATTCCACGTGTTTATGCATATTTGCCTAAGAGATTGCCATATTTCTCATATGCCTGGGGCAATGATTTCTTTTGCAAATACAAGACACAGAGAACAGGTTCTACGGTCTCGTCCAGTTCCACAGGAAACGATGATTCACCATTGGGACCAGCAGCTCCAGTTGATGAGACCGACAAGAAATTCTTGCCACTGGGACCAGCTCCAGCTGATGAGACCTACAAGAAAAATTTTCACATTGCGTTTCCGATTGTTGTTTCATTGCTTCCGGTGAATCTCATTCTCTCTGATCGCAATCCATCAGAAGAATTATCTTTGCTTTTTCTGTACGCTGTGTTTGTAGGTTTTCTTACTTTTATTGTAACAAAATCGCGTCAGTGACCCGAATGTGCCACTGTAAGCCATCTTGTATTGTATATCATCGTATACTTGGGCACAATACGTCCTGTGGACAGCTTGATCTGTTTCTGATGGTTAGAGCTTGTGCAGTGATCATTTGTGTAGTAATTATTTTCCTTGATTTTTCTGGCTTTAGCCCTGAACTCTTTTGTAGGCTTTGGTTTTTGCTAGTAGAAGATTTTATTTACAATCCCTGATTCAACCAAAAGTTCCAGCACCGTCACTTTGGTCAGTTCTGTTGCAAAAGCAGTGTGTACTAGCACTATTACAGAAAACCCTGTATCCTCGGTTCCAAAGAGTTTTCACTGGCATTTTTAGTAGAAATCGCATTCAGTACCGTTGGTTTCTCACCTGAAGGTGAAAACCATTTTGTGGCAAACGATGATGATGATCATATATGTACCGTCAGCCTCGAGTATCAACCGTAGCTATAAACGCTATTTGCATGGTCGGTTTTAAGCATCAATCATTGGTCCAAATTCAATTCTGCTCAGTCGGTTGGATCCACCATCCGAGAGTAGTGAGAAGGCCCAAGCACATCCTGTTTTAATTGAATTTTACATAAATTTGGTTCACTTTTAAATCGGAACTGGTTCAATTCACAGCACAGGCATCAAAGAAAGCACGATCATCACTAACCTCATCCAATTCACACATAAACACGTCAATATAAGTTCAATCTGAAACATCCAATTTACAGAAGTCGTCCATGCCTAAACATTAATTATAGAAGTTCAATGCATGCAGCCTAAATGGTGTGGCCTCCTAGATCATCTTACTAAGCTTAGTCTTGGAGCATAGTTGTACCGTATCCATCTTTTGCCCATCTTATTACTGATGAGGCAGAGAAGTGTAGAAATTTGTCCGTTTAAAGTGCAAGAATTTCATAAAAATTTGCCAAATAAAATGCAAAAAAAACATAGGAGTCGTGTAAAAGTTTTACAGAACGTGTAAATTAATGCCTGTTTAAAATGCAAGAATATCAAAGAAATCGTGTAAAAAATTTACAGCAGTCAGAAGATACAACTGGAGCTCACGAAAACCAGTCTAGTTCCAACACATGCTTCTGAAATTTACCATCACATATGCTGTCTTCAGGATTCCAAAAAGGACATGAATATCAGCTGTCATGCCCAGAACAAAACATCTGGTGAAATGATGTGGACAACGGACACCACAATGGAGCAAGCCAAGATATCTCAAAGGAGCATATATGCGAGTACACTTGCAGCAAAGGCAAGTCCAAAACTCTCGGTTACAACCATATAATAAGAGCGTCTGCAAAATCGCTTACCTTTATCTATAACAATAACCAAAAATAGACATAGCCGACTGACTCTCGAGAGCCAGAACCCACAACAATAGGAATATTAGATATGCTGCAGGCAGGATCCAAATTCAGATCCTTTTAGACTCTACTCAGACATAACATAATTAATAATATTTACGCGGTGAGTTTGTGCGGTGTTGGGGGTGAGTCCAGATGCTGGAGGTGCAGGGCAGCTACAAGCCCCTGCCATGTTTCCCCAGGGCGAGCAGATGTCTTCAGTTCCACAATTTTCCTCTGCTTCTTGTAGTAATCTTCCAGCTGCTTGGTCTGCATTTTGAAATTCCATATTAGATATCATCATGATTTTCCACCTTCAGAGCTTTGAACAACAATAATGCAATAGCCTCGATCCCTAGAATCATAAGTTGAAGAACTGTGGTTTTCTTTTTTTCTCTCTTTTTTTTGTACAGAAACAAGTTTAGTAAGGTCTGACAATAGAATCACTAGCCTGGTCAGTAAGGGGCTAAGGGCATAATGTTCTAGGCATCCTTTGGCATAAAGCAAGGCCAAGACAAAATGTTAAGCATTACCTGCTTAGCATAAGTGCGCATCCTCTCCATCCTTGAGGCTTCCAGGCCTACAACACCAGCAGGTTCTACCTGAGAATGCCATGTATAACTTCCAAGGCTGGGACTACAGTTCATAGATGCTGAATTGCTGACATCAAAGAGCTGTCCACAGTGGGAGCAGATGTCGCCCCTCGATCGCTTCTTCATGAAACAGTCATCAGCACACTTGAAATTCAGAACCAAATCAATATCCACAATCTCATCAAGAATCTCCTGAAACATGTGAAGTTATGAACAAATCAGATATGAGTGCAATCACACCAATCTGGAAGTAATTTGGTGTCCATCCTCTGTGATGGTTACATGGTACCAGGATGTAACTAAATCCTCTGTGATAGTCTGAGAATGCAAGATACTCACAGCTTGCATACGGGTGCGTGGAATCCCATCAAGAATGAACCCAGTTTCACCCTTGTTGTATCCGTCCTCAAGCCGCTTCGTCAGCAATCCAAATATGATGTCCTCTGGCACAAGCCTCCCCTCATTTACTGAGTTTGCAATCTGTGTATATAAGAAAATAAAACTAACTCAGCCCAGTTCGACACGCCTTTAAAGATCCCCCTTGACATTTTCAGTGTATTCGGGAAATACATATGCTCGTTTCTGGAATGATTGTAATTTCTAAGTGCCCCGAATTAGACTCTAACGAGTGTAACTTGTGCAAACAGTTCAACAAAATGTGCAGATAGGAAACAGACATATGCAGGGTACAACATGAGGGCCAACTGGGAAGGCTGCATATGCTGTCTGCAGCCGCCACAGGACGGCAGGATGGAATTTTCCAAGCTTCCAATGTGAACCCTAACCATGTCAAATCCCAAAACTGCCCCCCAACATTGTGTGGACACAGACAAATTACGAGGCTGCCCCCGCAGCCGTCCACGAAGGCGGACAAGCACGCTGGGAAAGACATGGCCAGCACGCTCTTCTCCTGGCAGCAAGAGATTCAATCATCGAATATAACCCAGAGAATAAGAGAGAAATTGTGGCTTTTATTGGAAAATTGCAGCCAAAGCTAAGAAAATGATTTATTTTGCAAAATACTTCGTGGGGAAATAAGCGAATATATATTCAGCAAATTGGCTGGTCCCAAGAAAAGCTTGTGGCTTTACAGGAGCTGAGGCAAATATCTTCGAGATCAAAAGATTGCACAGCTGTGTCACGAGAAATTTCCAGAAGGACCCAAAAAAGCGGCCAGAAAATCCCAGTTTCCTGGCGATTGATGTGTGAAATGGCTTCCACAGGACACACAGGTAGCTCCGGGACAAATCAAGCAAAATAGCCCAAACAAAAGGATCCTCCTCCTGCCAAAAGCCGACTAGGAACACTAAATCAGTTAAACGACTCGATCGAAGCTAGGACGAGCAAGACACCCCGAGATCGCGGAATCAGAGCAATTGGAGCGCAGGCAAGGAGAGGGTGACGGGGAATCGCGAGCCCAGAGCACCGGAGAACCGAACCGGAGCCACCCACCTTCCTGTAGAGGTGCGAGGCGGGGCTGAGCTCCTGCCTGACGAGCGTGCCCATGGAGATGTAAGGCACGGCGAGCACCTCGGCCAGGCGCGCGGCGTGGGCGTGCTTCTGCGGGCCCGGGCGGCCCATGACGACCCACTGCATGCCCCCTGGCCCCCCGCCGGCGGGGTCGAGGCCGGGGGCCGGCGCCGAGGCGCGCGCGCGGCGGGCCGCCTCCTCCTCGTCCTCCTCCTCCCAGTCGGACCAGCACTCCTCCATCGCGGCCGCCGCGAGCCTCCGGTTTGGGGCGGGGGGCGGGGCCGGGGCCGGGGGCGCGCCGGTACGCGGATCGGGCTGCCGCGCCCTTGGCGAGCCGCAGGAGGCCGGCCATTTCTGGCGGCGGCGGCGGCTAGGGTTTGCGGGGCGTAGGGTTTTGGGGAAGGGCGCGTGGTGGTGGGGGGAGTGGAGCTGCGGGAGCTGCGGGGAAGTCTCTCTCTCTCTCTCTCTCTCTCTCTCTGTGGTGTGGGCCGTGGGCGGGCGTGTGGCTGCCCGTTTGGTGGCCGCCTGCCGGCGGATACGAGAGGAACGACGACTCTCGGTAGTCGGGATCCGCGATCTCGAGGCGGGCCGGCGGACCGCACCGCACCAACAGTGGTTTGAGATAGATCCACGCTGCCACGGGTGCAAAATTGGTGGGACTCGCGGGAGATTTGGACGGGTTTCGTGCGAAAACGGCATCGCTATTTAAACCTGTGTCATGTGTCTCAAATGTTTCCAAGTCGGTTTTTTTTTTGCGAGGAAGTGATTTAGGTATCTTTTTTTTCTTCTTTTTTTTTGGAAAGGAGATTCTAATTCTACACCGCTTTTTTTAATACATAAGAGCATGTAGAGGTTCAAATAGCGATGCCGTGCCGTTGGGGAAGTCACGGATCACCTGCTCACCCAGGGGCTTGCTAATTCCCTATCAGGTAGTTAAATACATGGACATTATTAGAACAATTATAAGCCCTGGCCCCCTTAGTTCTAAGCCCAAGTTCCTGGCAAGCCAGCAGGACAGCAGCCCAATTAGAAGGAAGTTGAGACTGTCTCCAACAAGAAACTTATATAAGCATCTAAATTTAAAATGTATGGATAGAGATGAATCAAAATCTTGTTATTTGTGCCCCTGGATTCCTGGCTCAGCCCAAATTCACCTATACTAAAGCATTTTACTTTTGGGTTATCATGAACAAAAATTCAAGAGCTGAGATGCTCACTAAATATGACATCCTAAATTCTCTTTAAGGAGTTTTTAGAGGAAACCCATTTACAAAAAGGATTCTTTCTTTCTATGGATCTCGTTGTTAGATAAAGATGATCTCGATTATATTTTGTTGTTTAAACCTTTGCTGCCGCTTGCTTTGGACATACTCCCTCCGTTCAAAAAGCGACGAATAAATCTTGTATTTTGTGTGTTGTTTTAAGAGACAGCCTAACGAGACGAGCAACAGCAGGCCAGCAGCCGTATTCCGTTGTCTCCCCAAGCTGCCTCAGCACAATAAGAGCAGCGGAGCAGGAAGCGCAAAGGCCGGAGGCAGGACATCGACTCGCCAAACGCCGCGTCGCGCCGATGCCGCCGGAAGCTGCCTCCTGCCGACGGCCAGAGTCAAGTCTCCCGTCTCTGTGACGCCCAGCTGCCAGGCATGCTGTCTTGTGTCTTCGTTTTCCCCCTTTTGTTCTTCCCAAGTGCACATAATTTTTTGATCTTGATCAATACAGATGTAATCTTATTTGCATTTTGCATAACTTTATTGCCCTGATATGTATGGACGTATGGTTATAACTATGAGATCGATGAATCAAACTTGGTTCAGTTTTGCTTGTTATTTGTGCCCCCCCTGCCGGATTCCTGGCTCCGCCCCTGTATTCACCTATCCGTAACCCATGGGTAATCTCACCGGTCAACTGTTTGGCTGCTAGCATGAACAAAAATTCAAGAGATGAGATGCTCACTCGCTATTTATTTTGTTCACAAACTAAATTATCTTTAAGGAGTTTTTAGAGGTGGTCTAACTCACTTATATGCAGGTTTATTATTGATGATGTTGTAACAGTTTGAGAGCGCATGAGTAGTAATATTTACTTTGGCAGTTCTCCTATGTTTGGAGTACCCGATTTTTTTTTGTTGCTATTCAGATAACATGTGATTTTATCATTATTTGGTTATAAAAAATCAGAATGATCTCTTGTAAGTTGTCTTTTTAATTATATTTTGTTGTCTGAAAATTTAGAATGCTGAAATCCAATCACTCTCTTGCTTTGGACATACTCCCTCCGCCTATGAAAGAATACAATTCTAGCACGTATTTTAGAATCTTAAGTTTGACTAGTTATAAATAAAAAAGTATTAATATTTATGATATCAAATAAATACTACTAGATTAATTACAAATTGTGTTTTTATAATAAATTAATTTAGAGTCATAAATACGAATAGTGTTCACTAAAAATTTGGTCATGGACTACTTTTGCCGGCGTGTAACCTTACATTCTTTTAGAGAGAGAGAGTAGCCGATAGAACCGGACACTCAAAGTTTCAAAGTAGTCCAACGGTGAACGGTGTCCCCAAAACTTTGGGCCATGTGTAGGTCGACTGTCAGGACGGAGTCTGCAACCACAATGGTCTGGGGCGGGTGGGAGGTGGCTGAGCGACCCTGGCGGGCGGGCGCGTCAACGCGGCAGGATGATGGGCCGGAAAAGCGTCGCCGTCTGCGTGGGCCGTCGAACAATAAAGCGCATCTGCTCGTCTATTTCATTCACGGATTATTCACCATCAGCTAGCCCTCGCCACTCGCCATCACCGGTGCAAGCTTGCTTACTTGCTTGCCATCACCCTCTCTCTCTCTCTCACACACACACACACACACATGATTGTTCTTTGTTCAGGTTGCTTTATACACTTTTCGTCCCAAATGCAAATTGCAAGGTCGTCGTCGTCGTCTTCCCGATCGAAAGATCGACATGGAGAGGTACGGCGCGGCGATGGAGCCAATGCAACCAGAGACACCATGGATGCATGGAGACTGGAGAAGTACAGCTCATCTATCATCCAGGAACGAAGAAGAATACATGCATGCAATTAACCAAACGACGGGGCCGAGGCCGACCAAGCAGCAGTGCCAGCGGCGCCAAGCATTCACAGTGGTAGCTAGCTAGCCAGGTAACAAACTAGCTAGCCGAGGGTGCGGACGAGCGTGGCGAAGTCGCTCTCGGAGCAGCAGGGGATGGCGAAGGCCGCCGGGGTGGCAGTGGTGGTCCAGGCCGAAGTAGGCCTCTTCCGCGCTCTCCAGCAGCGCCACGAACGACGGCTGCTTCAGGTACGCCGTCGGCACCACGAACCGCGCCCGCGCCTCGCCCACGTACACCGCGAAGTGCCCACGCGGCACGCCCACGACGCCGCCGCTCTTCGAATTCGCCGGGTGGTGGTGGTGGAGGTGGAGGTGGAGGAGACGAGCCACCAGCTGCTGCAGCTTCTTGCTGCCGACGCCCATCTTCTATACTTCTTTAGCTTCTTCTTCTCCTGCGGAGGCGGCGCAGGCTAGTTATTGCCAGTCGTCTTCTACAACGTACAGGCAGCCGTACGACGTGCAAGCGCCAAGCTAGCACGTGTGTGTGGGATGTTGCTGGCTTTCTGCTCGATCTCTGCGACGACCAGCAATGGTGGCGCGCGCGTGCGCTTTTATATACTGCGCGCGCGTGTGCTCGATGGATGGATATGGATCGGATGAGCGCGTTGTCACTACTGTATAAACTTTTTTTTAGTTGGTCAGTCGTCCCTATACCGTAGGGACGGTTCCAGATCGTCCTTATAAATCGATTTGGAGAGACGACTGGTATTATCGGCCGCCCCTACAAATCGATTTATAGGGATGGTTACCAGCCGCCTCTACAAAATCGTTTTGTAGAGGTGGTTGTAGTACCAGCCACCACTATAATACCTGTTTAGAGGGACGGTTCAGTCTAGAACCGCTCCTACAGTATATTTTTCCGCTAAAAAAATTCAAATTCGACCAGAACACACACACATATATATATATATATATATATAATTCAAATCTGACCACAAACATAAGAGCACAAGATGTTGGTACTGAAGATTTATAGCTAAGTGAACGTAGTATAACTCTCAACACAGTACAGTATACTTTAATGAAACTGGTGTATCTGCAAAGAAACATAAGCAGACAATCAAATGATATTTAACATATTTTTTACATCAGGAATTAAGGAAATATATGTATAAGAAAAGGTCCAGTTCGATGAAGGAATGGAAATCCCATCAGGCTTTAAGAATCACTGAGCACCATCAAGACACTCAAGGGATAGTTCATTGTCACCAAAGGACCCAAGCAATTCATTGACCTGATTCATGTAGGTATGTATGAGGTTTTTAAAATTAACAGGTTGGAAAGGTTTAACATGACCACTTCCAATTTGATCAAACTCTGTTTCAGCACCCAAAATAGATCAAATCAAAATATACTAATGGAATACAAGAAGGCAACAGTAGATATAGCAATACAACAAGTAAAATGATTGTATCAGCAATTATTGCATTGCCAAACTTTAGTAGTTTAGTACTAGCCCAATGGACATGATTGAATAAATAAGAGACAGAATAGCCACTCAATAACTTACATGAAGAGTAATGACAAAGTTTTAACTTGCGGCCAGTTTCTTCAGCGGCCCGCAATGTCAAAGTTTCATTTAGCTCAATTGAAGAGAGATACAGTTGTACTACATTTTTCGAAGAGGGTGTTCCACTTGTATCCTTATGACAGCAAATTAATCAAGATCCTCTTTTTTTCTTTGAAGCTCATAAGCTTCAAGCGAAGTGACGCTAACCTGTAATTATGCCATCTCAGAAAAAAATAAAGCCTCTAATCTTATTTAGAGCTATACCATTACTTCATCTCCTAAATTTTTCGGTATCCTAAAATTTACTGAAAGTATGGTTTACATGCATCAAATTTAGGAGGACAAAACACATCAAAGTTTAAGGCTCAATCTTACCGTCCTAGTTGTGGAGACTGCATCATCTGCAACCCTATCAACCAAGGCCTTAGCAACTGCTCTTCGATATTGCTCACATGATGTAAAACAAAGAATCAACAAAAAGCAGTATTGGACTTAATAATAAGCAGACATGAAGTCATAGGAAAAAGAAAAGGATAACATTCTGGTCATATAATATTTGACTATTTGTTTTCTTTTGCCAAATCAGGTTAATCAGCAATTCA